TAATGCCACATATTGTCGGCGAGACAATTTCGTATACGGCGCTGGGGCGTAGAGGACATGGAGGTAACATCGATCGTGATGCCCGTTCTAGGGGAAAATGAGAAATTGTCACGAAATTACATATCGTGTCGCGCAGGATACACGCTGCAAATCCGGCCGTAACACGCGCTCATTTCCGAATAATGCGCGTACGATGTCCATGCGTGCAACTGTCTATTTTCATTAAACAGTCGCGCACGGTCTTGTCGTTGCGCATTGTGCGGCGAAAATTGCATACGTGACAATCGGGATGTTCGAGGGATGGCACCATCGTAATTGCGAATTTAAGACCGATCGTTCTCGACGACGACTCGCGCGCTTATCTCTCGTTCTTTCGAGAGAATCGCGCATGTGTCGATGTCGAACTGCTAACAAACAGCTCTCGCTCCTGCCTTCGTTCCGACATTCGAGATTGAGGAAATGAGAAAAAAAAGGAATCAAAGACTCGAGGTGAAATTAAAACGGATGTTCGCTCTCAACGGGACGAAGAACGCGCGGCAGAAATTTCATTCCGGCGTGTTTTTGACACTGCGTGACAGGCACAAATGGAACTCGGAAAAAGGAGCGCGGCAAGCGGAACAACAATATTGCAGGTAGGCGATGCGTCCAGCCTTGCCGATATATATGGGATCGGGCAAGCTTTCAGAGGTGCTCCGAAAAATGTCGGCTTTTTTCGGAAACCAGACGCGATTCAAAGCGCAGGAACGTTCGAGAAGAAACGCACGAAACGCGCACTCGATAGTCGATATGGATATGTAAAGATGAATTCGTGTGCGACGGGCCAATTGGAAGGCAGACCGAATGTAGCACGTTGCATTTGCACCAGAGCGCGGACCGCTTCCGTCTGAAATACCGTTAACGTTATATGGCGACGCGTATACGTCGGACTACATAAACTTCGGTAGCGAAAGTGTCGGTGCATTAGTCGTGCGTTATCGAGCGCGTAAAACGTGAACAAACAAGAGAATTGGGAAAAAAAAAAACAAGAAAAATAGCGGATCATTTTCGAGCGTATGATTCCGATCTATTGAACGGAGCGACGGGAAAGTAAAAACGAGAAACGCTGGAAGGGTTGTTTGAACCGTTTTCTGGCGAAATTAAAATTTAAACAAATTTTTCGTATTTTTCCGTCAATCTTGGTAGTGACATCCGTCGAAATTCAATCATATTGATCGAAACCCCGATGCAATTTAATGTACGCTTACGAATATACACCGCCGGAATGTGTCACAACCATGCCATCGAAATTTGCAAATGTACCGCTGCGTTATCAATCACGTAACCATTAGTTGGGGATTAGAAAGCCCCATTAAAACTTACTACTGATTAAAGCTGATCCACCAGTACTTCAGATTAATGTCGCAATTTGCGACGTGCACTCGACGGTAGCCACTGCACTGTTATCGCCACTAACATTAATATAATGCGCCTTGCAGCGGCGATAGAATCAATATGCTTCGCACCGATAACAGTTCGTATCGCAGGAGAAGCCATTCTGCTAATCGTTCGCTGCAGAGTCCGCGCACCGAAGGTAGTGGTAAACGCCAGCGCATAACCTGAGCTAACAGAGTGGTAGCGATAATAGTAAATTGCGAGACCGACGCTACAGTATTTTCAGCACCGACGTGCCGCGATACGCGGCGTAAATAACATGCACGCACGAGAGAGAAGAAATTTTATAGTTTGCTTGCAAGTTTTTGCATCGAATCACTTTCAATCGGATCGACTTTCAGAGAGACAAGCTTCGACCACGTTGTAACGAATACAGCTAGCGAAGCATGATAGCACGTAATAGTAAATTCGCTTTGACGGTATAAACGTCTTTTATTTTATAAGCAAATAACGCGACAAGAGAGCGAAGCTCGTAGGAAGAACGGAAATATATACGCGAAGACGACGAGACATGATACAGAAATATTGCGAAGGAAGTCTGAAGTAACGTCTAATAAGGACGAGTTGTGTGCGGATGGAATTAGTACTTGAATAGCACGGCGTGGCTCTTCCTGGAGAAACGTATCTACATTCCGAAGGCAAAATCTTGCGTTACGTCAAGTTCCGCGAAACAAAAGCCAAAGGTACTTCGCTTTTTTGAGAACGGAACACGTCAAACGAATGCGACGAGATCTCCCCGACAAATCAATTGAAAGGGACCTTCTTCCGCGCGTGCATCGTCTGAAGAATTACATTTCGACGTTCCGTATTTCGTAATAAACGTCGGTTTTTTTTCCCCCCACGGAATTCGGAAACTGCGAGGACCGTTGGAATTTATGTATGTATGGATTTTCGAATGAGCTTCGAAATTTTTCGGCAAATTAACTTTAGAGGCAGGATAGCAGCGTTATCTCATTATTTAAGCTTGTTATCAGTATTATCGGATCCTGTTGCGCAAATTTGGATAATAATGAAGTAACGTTATATGAAAGTTCCCTCGCCCGCTCCCTCTTTAATTAGTTAATATGCAGACGCTCCGCAGTCATGGAAATTCATGAATATTATCTTCTACCATGTAGCTAAATGCTTTTTTTAGGATGCTTCTCGTATCCCCTCCTCCCTTCCCTCCCGCCGCGTTAGAAATTCAAATAGGCCGCACCACGAATCGGTTGATAACTTAAACCTTGCGCTCGCTCGGGTCAATCGGAAACAAGTTAATCGCGTATCACGCGTAATTACTAAATGCAATTTCGTTCTAATTGTTCATAATTGAACCGCGCCAGGCGCAGACATCGTAACGACTTTTTTTAGCATATAGAGAGGATAGCTGCAGTGCGCGCGCCTCGCTTTTAGTCCAATTATCTTTCCCGACAATTCCGGAGCACCGCAAAAAGATGACGTCTCTCCCTTTCCCTTCGCGAAGCTGTTTATAATTCCAAAACTACCAAACAAGTCTTCTTACACTTCTATTTGCGAGCTTTCTCTCTCTTTCGGGGACACTGTTTAGATATTCGCGAGTTAATATGTCGAGATAAAAAAAGACAAAGCTGTCAGCGTCGTTGATAACAATGGCGATATTAGTACGCGTAAAATAGCCGCAAAAACAAGGACTTAAAACACGCGGTTATCGGCAGTTCCGTTCGATGGAGAGATATTCAAGTTATATTTTTGACGTGTCTATTTTCGCGTTGGACATGTTTATGTCTCAAGTTCCAGATTTTCGCGAAATCGAGCCGTCCAATTTTGCAACGCTCCACATTCGTTTCTTGTTTTGCGAAATTTCGCGAAATGAAACAGTTAATACGCTGAAAATATCGGCAAACGTAGATGTCAGAATGCGCGCCCGTCCAACGGCTGATCGAGTTTTATTTTCTTTTATAAGATTCCGACAGTATAACTACACGATTTGTTAAATCAACGACGAAGTAACGGAATGTTAATTGAAGCGGAAAAACACGCGTGTTTTTCAAAACAATTAATTGGTATTCCGTGAATACCGTCGTAACGAATTTTGTGATATTTCATTTTTAACGATAATCTGTAAGCGGGCATAAACGACCTTAATACGTATCAATAACATCATATTCTGTTACCTGGTAAATTTATAATTCATATTTATGTTTACGTCCGTATTTACGTTCGTCGACAGAATATTTCCATTATGGAGTTTGCTATACCGATGCAATCAAATTAATGCCGCTGTCGACGCCCACTTCAATCGCTATCGTTGTTTATCGTAAGCAGAATAACTTGCGCTCTTGCGCAACTTTCGAGCTAACAATTTTATCTGTTAAATTAATGTATACCAACGTCGAATAGCTTGGAGCTTTTACCGGTGAATAAACAGCCCTTCGTTGTTAAGAGAACAGACGAAAACATTTTTTTCAGCACCCCAGCTTGACGTTTTCGTCAATTCCTCGTCAATTCGCGTTTATTCGCGAAAAAATCAAGCGTGATCGATATTCTACGGGATGACAGATGGCAGTAAGGCCATTTTTTTTTCTTTCTCGACAACGATTTCCCGTATTAAAATTTGCTAATTAAATACACGTCACATACGACGACGGATTGAATATGACTGATAGCGGAGACGTTTTTGACGGCGCTTTCGACTCGCAGAAATAATCAACGTCATATCCCGCAGATTTCATAGTCCGCCTCCCGTCGCTCCACTTCCCACGAGCCCCCTTTTTACGAGATTAAATTCCGGTCAGGGCAAGTTCCAGGCATGGGCGACGTCGGCGACGCGACAACTCGACGCACAAGATCATAATGTCCGAAAAGAGAGAGAGATGGCATTTTTAATATAAATAAATATGTCCCTCGAATACTTCGGATGCCAATCTTTTGTCGGACGACGAAGTGATCGACTTTGTTGAAGATCACCCAGATACTGTATAAACGTTTAACATACATACGTGACAGCGGAGCTTACTTCAAGAATAGCTGTTAGTCGCAATAACGACTCTAATTTCTTGCAGAAATAAATACCAGATGATATTTCCGTTTCTGAAACGTATAGAGACGTGGACGTGTATAAAGCTGAATGTTCGCTCGAGCAATCGAGGTTATATGCTCCACGAAAACCGTCCACTTCGTTTCCCCGAATATTAACACTCTAGACGTGCAAAATAAATAATCTTACTCACCAGAGCAGCTGTATCGCCATTATCTCGATGGTGGCTACGATTGTTCTAGACGATCGGACTCGAGCGGACGCAAGACGATCGGAAAAACACGATCGATTTACGATCACGTCCACTGACTAACGCTAATTAACGCGGCGCGATAATCGCCCGTCACTTTGTACTACACTCACGCGACGTTCATTACGGCGTACGAAACGAGTAAAGAAACGCGGAACACGACGATCGTCTCTTCGCAACTCACAGCCACTCACGATGCAGCAATGGACGACGCTTGAGATGCGACAAATGTAAAATACGCGGCAAGACGTGTAACTGCACGTCTATGCACGGATCTATGCGGTGGCGCGACAGTCGCAAAACACGCGCAAATGGCGAGCGAGCGAGTCAACGAGCGGAGTAGGTATTAGCACATTAACTAACCCGAAAGGCCATTATCGATGCTTGGAGTAGCAGTCGGTAAATTCGACACTGGCCTACTCGCGCGCGGTATTCCCTCTCGCGGAATAACATGCCCCGGCACGAGTGATACGACGAGTCTTGTGGCCGAGCAGAAGTCATCTTATTTACTCCGCTTCGCCGCGCGACGACTGTCCTACGCGAAAGCGCCGGGAGATAAATTCAAGGTGACTACGTGAGTCAAAATACGATTCGCCGCCGTGCCTGCCGAACGTATCTTTATCGTAAGCGTATTTATTTATACGTAAATGAGTATCGGATATGTCGTATTTAGCGATGGGAGAGCATCAGCCAGGTAGTTAATCTGTTTATCAGATACAGTGGTTTTTTTGTTCCTCGACGTTGTTCTCGCGATCAGCACGTATACGCCGCGCACTACCGTAATACCGCTGCCCGCGTGTTCAACGTGAAGTTGCCGACACTTTGAATTTACCGTATGTGAAGCTGGTCGAGCGTCCATTGTTGCATCGCGGAAGCTGGCACGGAAGCATTCGTATCGTCGTGTTCCGCGTTCTTTACTCGTTTCGAGGGCGTGTTTCGTACGTCGAACGTCGAGAGTGCCGTAGAAAGTAACGACCGATCGTCGTGTCGCTTTAATTAGCGTGATCGGCGCGTAGATCGGCCGTGTTTTCGCGATCTCGACGTGCCCTTCGTGCGAATCTAAAATTTCCCGAGCAGCCAGGAAGAGACAAAATGGCCATGTTACGACCAGTGAGTAAATTTAGTTATTTCATATGTCACACCGTTATAGTTTTAATGGCTCGAAAAGAACCGGTTTTTTTAATACTCCGCAATTCTTTCCGGTTTTTCCGCAAAAAACGTTTTCCCCCTTTTCCACATATTTCTCTCTTTTAAAGTGAAAAATGGGAAAAGTGGTTTTTTTTCAAACTACACATATCGCGATGTATAATAAATAACAAGTATTCTGAGCAACGAAGCAGTCGACTTTTATAGAATCACGGTCTCGTTACACAGACTGCGCACACTTGTGACATTTATTTTCGCAGATAATCAGATTTGCAATTACCTATATAATAATTATTCCTGAAATACGCTCTCCTTCTTCATATATCTAATTTCTGGGATAAGCTTTGTTTCCGTATCTATTTATAAAGCTACTACTATTATTATTATTATATTTACGTAATAAAATCATTTTAACTTTTCAGTCATAGTCAACGAAGCAGACCACTTTATGCCCATGTGAGTGACCGGTCTGGAATGATCGGAGCTAGCGAGAGGACAATGGCTCGTGTCATCGGCTGGCGAGTGAATTTATTTATTACGCGTGATTATTCGCGCATTTATCTCGTTCATGGCGATTTGACAATGTCGTTGCGTCATAGCAAGCGCGGACTCTGATACGCGCTTGCTATATAATCTTCTACGTTATTATCGAAGATGTACAAAGACTAAAATGCGTTTCGTCCATATATATGTATCTGCAAACAGAACCGATACTGATTCGTGCTACTCGTAGTTACGAAATATGTTTCGTGTTTCCAGGCGACTTTCAACTCGGGCACGAATACGCGCTCGAAATTCTTTGTACACTTCGATTCCCACAAATACACAGAATACACAGACCATAAATTCGTACGTGTACTTTCCCTACACTGAAATTTCTTCGTTCAGAGACAATTTTTACCCAACAAACATTTATTCGCACACCAATTCTGTCATAATTTTTATCAAAATTCATGTTAAATATTCGCTGGGCCAAAATATCAGAATAAAATTTAAGAAAAGTTTATACGTAAAATTAATCGAATTAATTGAGGAAAATAAGTTCAAATTATTTTATTTCAATATATCTTTAGCACTTCATATGTTTCAGAGCTAGAGAAATTTAATTTCCGGAAGCCTTTTAATTTTAAATTGCATGCAATTAAAAAAAGAATCGTATTTCAATATTGTTAAAAAATTGATTCCAAATCAGTAAATGTCTTGCTATACGAAGCATATGTACGAATCTGTGTAGTCGTCCTTTGTGTACAATTTTACCGTCGCGTTTGTGAGAATCGCGCGCTGCACCGATCACGAAATGTTTCGACCGGTTGGCATTTTATGGTGGGTTCGAATAAATCTGACGCGGGAGATATTCTAAAGTCGATCCTTCGTGTATTCCTTCTCGGAATATTTATGCAGTCACGATAGATCGTAACATCGATCGTATTTCTTATTTCGGATCCGCGTAAGAGGCAAAAGCGGATTTCCATTTATCTTCTGTATTCTTGTTACGATGTTTCGAGATATGTGTATTCGTTCCATAGAACGGAAGATGCCGTTGGCTTTAATGACATCGCCGATGCAGCAGCAGAACGAGGCGCGTTCTTGCGCCATAAAGCTTCATTCTTTTTGTCTTAACTATATCGATGGACTCGCAGAAAAGTATTGGTCCGCTCTTGGCACAAACGGCAGCGGCTCCAATTAGTCTCTTCTTGATAAATCAGTGTCGGACTCCAAAGTTTTTAAGTTCGTATAACAAAGCTTTAGTAGAGAATGAAATACGAAAGCTGTTTTATCTAGAAACTTCTGACAAACTACTACTTCTTATCTACTGGGATTCACATAATTAGTATGCATATTCGCGTAGTTAGTAAACCGGTGAAGTATCATGAGAATAAGTTTTTCTCATGTTTTCAGTTTTTGAAAAAAACAAGTTATTTTATTATATTAAAATAAATATGCATGATGAAAACTGAAATTATTTACTTGCGTAACCTAAAAAAATGACTTTAAAAACGAGAATAGTTTATTTCTTGGAAATAAATAATTTCTTATTTTTAGCACACCATTGCTTATATCTGGTGTCCTAGAAAAAGAATATTCATTTAATAAAGATATATTGTTCTATTGAACGATGACACTATTATCGATAACTAACGCGGACTATCTCGGAATTAATTACGTCATTACCGGACTAAAACTCGACCTCGCTTTCCGGCATCGTTGAAGCGCGACAACGACAATCCCTCGCAACCCCTTGTAAACAGAAGATAGAATCGATCCTTCGAAACATGTGCGCGCGTCTGTTTCGAATAATCGAAGCGATACATTACGCGTACTGAATTCAGAAGTGAAACAAAGTTCGAACCTTTCTCCGACTCTCGACTTTATGTTATGAATGCGTTATATCTTCTGAATCTTGACATTTTGACATTTGACATTCTGAGCTCAGGAAGAAACACGTGTTAATACACAACCCCATGTATAAAACTAATGTTTTACATTATATAGTTACATTAAATTCACGTAATGGTTAAGTTTGATCTAAAACTTTGTAGATAAGAGCATAGCAACAGAACATAACAATACAAGGCGACGATTATATTCTACTAGAACAGTGGAGAAAATGATTCCTTGCGGAGAAAGTTTGGAAATGGAGAATAAAATATTTTCATACGCGGTTGTTGAAAATCGTTGAAGATGAAAAATCGCAACAAAGATATGAATTTTCCAATCTTCCAATATCCAAATCTATTTTCCCGGAAATGAAGTCCTGTTCGAGAAAAATGTTCCCTACCGCTTCGATTTATTTCGACGCGCGACGAATCACCCTATCCGTTTGTATCATCGTTACAGCACCTCGTATTATTTGGAAACTATCAGCGCAGAAACGTGCAGCCTCGTTGTTAGCCGGTATTTTTGGGATGGGGAAAAATTCTATAACGGCCGAAGGTAGGATACGCTATTACTATGAAAAACAAAAGCCCCGGCGAGTGTTTTCTATATCACCTGCACAGAGGGGAGCTTTGTAACGACATGGCACGCGGGATTACAATAGAATTGTATTGCGACCGGCGCGTGCCATTGGTTTTCGTTACGCGTGTTCGCACTTACAACCATTAATTTGAATACGGCATCACTTAAACGCACGCCGATGCATGCATGGTAGGCAGCAGTCATTTACGTTCTCGCCTATAACTCGATGAATTATATTTTCGTCAACGATTCACTCGAAAATTCCGCGGTCATTCCTGGCGCTCGACGCGCGGGCGGGCGGAGCAATCGAGTGGTAACGTGTTGGAATTCCGCGACAGTAAAAAAATTTCTATATTAATTTTTACAGGTATTTAATACAAGATCCAAGACAACGCGAAAATTTGGTAACTTTATTATTAAGTAAATTTCAATATCATCCGAGCGAATATGGCGCGAAACTATTTGATTTTTACCTTGATATTATTAATTGGCGTACTAAGGTAAAGTTCATTCCGATGGAAGGGGAGAGAAAATTCTTCAAAGATGATGCACTTTCAAAGGTATCTCGGGTTCCTGGAAGTTAGCGCAGAAGCGTTCTCTCGCGAGAATTGGGCGCAGTTTTGTTATGCAAGTCGCGGGTGGCACGAGAAGCTGCCTTTGGAATCTTTTCAGCGGCTTACGCGATCGTCCTGTTAAGCAGCGGTGTCCCATGCATACAAACGGAAGGAAGAAATGGTCAATAAATGTTCCCGCGACGGGTAAATATAGCCTCCGGATCTGCGCTATGCTTTCTTCCCTTGAATTTCTTAAAAGTGTTCGTAAGCACAGAAGTGTACTCGCAGGACCATTCGATCTCTTTCGCTCAAATAAAGCGGACGTATTTTCAATTTAATTCGTTTATTCGAGAGAGAGAGAGAGAAAGAGAGAGAGAGATGAGTTTCTGTACGCCCACAATATTCGTCGTCATATAAATCGGGTCGGATTGCATCTACAAAATTCTAGCTAACGTTAAAAATAAGAGGAAAACGCGAACTAGTTTCAACGGCGCATTTGCCGATCGTTCGGCGAATCGGCGTTGTACAATCGCACTTGGCGCATTACATTCATAAATTATTCCGTTCAATATCGCAGACGTACTTTCTTACTACGCTGTTCGTTCGCGAAAACGTTAAATCATACTGCTCCTTTTATATTGCAAGATCAGACCGATATCGCATTCGACTATTCAAGGATTTTTTTTTTCCTTTTTTTTCAAATGGAGCTTATTTTACGAAACTTCTTCTTTCTTCATTCGGAAGGGTATGTCGAATAAAAATTACTTATAAATTGCCATGTCGCGTGCTCTTAGGTCCCTGACAGCGAATGTAAGACATTTTGCGATGGAAGCTTCTACTGAATTTCCGTACAAACTTCCAGCTATGTTATGTTGGCGCGTCGCCTTTGAGACTGCTGAAACTCCACGGAACTTTGTTTCCGCTCGTGTATCCTGGAAAGTACATTACTTCTTCATAAACGCACCTGCGTCGGTCAACGATAATGGGGGGAGGGAAGGAGGGAGGGGGAATTATAGCTTCCAAATTTTTCCATGCAAATCGCTCGCTTCCGCGTGGCACGCAATTTATGCAAAAATGTTCAAACTGATATCATTATATAATATTGTTAAAATATCATTACCAAAGACAGCGATGGTTGTTACAAATTAATAGGCTCTCTAAAAGTTTAATAGTCAATTTAGCAAGCATTTATCCACAACCACAACTAGTACGAGTTGATAATTTTGCACATTCAATTATGCGCGTCGAATCTCTGAATAGTTTCTATAACTAAACTGGAGGATTAATTTGGATTAATGCTAAAATTTCGCCTTCAGTTAGTTTCCATTTAGCATACGGTTCAATTAATTATTCATAAGTCTTTATAGACGAATAACACAAAATCGATAACTCATTTTCACCGTAATTCACTGACGAACTGCTTTATTTTTCCCTGTCCGAGTTTTTTTTTCTTTCACACCATCAGAATATTTGACAGTTATACCGATATAATATCATATTTTATTATCGTATGGTCAAATATTTTTTAATAATAATAGATATCTTAAAGTATCAAAAGCAAAAATAATATAAAATACACAAATACGCGGCGAAACTGTTAAGGGCAGATTTAATTTGAGATATTTTCTTCTGTTTTGAAAAACGATCACATTTATATTAAAGTAATTAACCTAAGCTCTTGTGAGCATTGGCGAATAATTGGAGCATCGAAACGATCATGTTGTTCGCGTATATAAATTCGCGGCAAAATTAATCGAACTCGGTGGACAAAAATACTTTTTGTCGGTTGGAAATAGTCGTAGTAGCAGAGACGAGTGTAGTGACAGTATCGCCGCCCGTTGATCCTGTCAACCGGGCACGTTGAAAGTCTGTAAGCCGCTGACGCGTACATAGCACGAACACGTGCACGCGTGCCCGATAGATACGTAACCAAGTCGACCCCAC